GGAACATGCCCCCCTAACTCCAGGTGGGTAGCTGGGAACACGCCTCTCCCCTCTCCCTCGGTAACCCCGGGGGAGCGCCTCTCCCTCCACACCCGCCCGCCATCCCGTCCCTCCTGCCGGAACGCCTCTGCCTTGCGCTCTCCCACCAGGAAAGTCCTCTGCACTCTCTCCTGGCGGGCCGAAGCCTCGTATCAAATCCGAGTCCGTGTCCTCCAGGAAGACCGGCCTGAGTGCCTTGCCCGTGGCTCCCTCCCGCTCGGACACAATGCACTCGGCCCCCGACCCGCACCTTCTGCATGAGCAACGTGCTCCAAGTCCAGCGCTGACCTCCGGCCCTGGAGGCACGTGTCCTGCAAGCTGACAGCCCAGCGTCCAGGTCAAAGAAACAGGACAGTGAGACAGTGTCTCACAGCCCAGGGAAAGGTGTCCGGTGACAGGTGTCTGGGAAGGGAGGGCCCGGGACCAGGGGCCTGGGGCTGGGGCAAACTTTGGGACTTACACTGAAGCAAGCAAGCTCCCGGCGTCTCGGCTGTGCTACAGCGAGAGTCCTGGCAAAACAGTCCCCTTCCCTCCAGCTGACAGGCCCGGAAACAGGCCTCAGCGGCTGCTCCCGACCTCGGGGTCTCGGGGAACAGGGAAGTCATCTCAGGTAATAAAGATAAATCACCAACCATTTTCCCATGAGTGACCTTAGAACACACGCACACGCACACACATGCACACACGCGCGCACACACACACAGAATGAACTCTGGAGGCAGCTCTGAAACCCAGCATGTCGTCAAAACCAACAGGAGGCTCACCCACCCTTCCTCACCCTACATCTCGGGATGTGACTCGTAATATACTGTACTCCCCGCACTAATTAAGGAGAATTAATGTCCTAATATACAGAACACTGTATCCCTAAACACTCATTTTCTTTTTGTTTCCATCACCTAAGATTTCCCATTTTTTTCTCCTCAAAAATTTCAAAGCTTATATGAAAATATAAACTACAAAAAGCATCGAATTCTAGAATAGATCAAATTTTAAAGGTAAATTATCTAGAAATGGATCAGAATAATACAGCCTACACGAGTGTTCAATAAATGAAGCTACAAAAATGAAGCCCTTATTACCATATTTTAATTTGCACATGGACGTGTTACAGAGACTGCGACGGCCACACCAGGGCCATCTCGTAGGGCACATAAGCAGAGCGAGCCCTGGATTTCTCCACCGGTCAGTGCTCGGGGAAGTCCGAGCCGGCATTTTATTTTATTTATTTTAAATATATCTTTATTAATTGNTAGGTTCCCACGCCCGTCCACAAAAGCCTATTTAGCCCATCAGAACGCCACAGAGGCCGGCCAGCCTGGGCGCCTCCCAGGGAACATGCCCCCCTAACTCCAGGTGGGTAGCTGGGAACACGCCTCTCCCCTCTCCCTCGGTAACCCCGGGGGAGCGCCTCTCCCTCCACACCCGCCCGCCATCCCGTCCCTCCTGCCGGAACGCCTCTGCCTTGCGCTCTCCCACCAGGAAAGTCCTCTGCACTCTCTCCTGGCGGGCCGAAGCCTCGTATCAAATCCGAGTCCGTGTCCTCCAGGAAGACCGGCCTGAGTGCCTTGCCCGTGGCTCCCTCCCGCTCGGACACAATGCACTCGGCCCCCGACCCGCACCTTCTGCATGAGCAACGTGCTCCAAGTCCAGCGCTGACCTCCGGCCCTGGAGGCACGTGTCCTGCAAGCTGACAGCCCAGCGTCCAGGTCAAAGAAACAGGACAGTGAGACAGTGTCTCACAGCCCAGGGAAAGGTGTCCGGTGACAGGTGTCTGGGAAGGGAGGGCCCGGGACCAGGGGCCTGGGGCTGGGGCAAACTTTGGGACTTACACTGAAGCAAGCAAGCTCCCGGCGTCTCGGCTGTGCTACAGCGAGAGTCCTGGCAAAACAGTCCCCTTCCCTCCAGCTGACAGGCCCGGAAACAGGCCTCAGCGGCTGCTCCCGACCTCGGGGTCTCGGGGAACAGGGAAGTCATCTCAGGTAATAAAGATAAATCACCAACCATTTTCCCATGAGTGACCTTAGAACACACGCACACGCACACACATGCACACACGCGCGCACACACACACAGAATGAACTCTGGAGGCAGCTCTGAAACCCAGCATGTCGTCAAAACCAACAGGAGGCTCACCCACCCTTCCTCACCCTACATCTCGGGATGTGACTCGTAATATACTGTACTCCCCGCACTAATTAAGGAGAATTAATGTCCTAATATACAGAACACTGTATCCCTAAACACTCATTTTCTTTTTGTTTCCATCACCTAAGATTTCCCATTTTTTTCTCCTCAAAAATTTCAAAGCTTATATGAAAATATAAACTACAAAAAGCATCGAATTCTAGAATAGATCAAATTTTAAAGGTAAATTATCTAGAAATGGATCAGAATAATACAGCCTACACGAGTGTTCAATAAATGAAGCTACAAAAATGAAGCCCTTATTACCATATTTTAATTTGCACATGGACGTGTTACAGAGACTGCGACGGCCACACCAGGGCCATCTCGTAGGGCACATAAGCAGAGCGAGCCCTGGATTTCTCCACCGGTCAGTGCTCGGGGAAGTCCGAGCCGGCATTTTATTTTATTTATTTTAAATATATCTTTATTAATTGCAGAGAAAGGAAAGGAGAGGGAGAGAGAGAGACAGAAACATCAATGATGAGAGAGTCATTGATCGAGCCCGCAGCCTGGGCATGTGCCCTGACCGGGAATCGAACCCCGATCGCCTGGATCCTAGGTCGACGCTCAACCGCTGAGCCACACCCGGCCGGGCCGAGCCTGCGTTTTCAAGACCGAGCCCTGCGGCTCAGAGCAGCGGCCGGCACACACCGGGCGGAGTCAGGCTGAGGGTGAGCCCAGAGCCGGGCCGCACGGGCCTTGGAGCAACACGCGGGATGCTGTACGAACAGCCGGTGTATTGAAGAGAAATTCTTAAGGTGTGAGCCGTTAAAAACATTTTAAATTCATGTAAAGGCCTAAGCAAAAAATAAAAAAGCACATATGGATCGTGAGCGGAAAAGAAGGCAGGGTAAGTCGAGTGGGTTTCATCTCACACACTGATGGGCACACATGAGGCTGAAGGAGTGAGAGATTAAAATGCACACTTTGTAAGGTGCCCACCTCCTGTTTATAGCCTCCGCTAGCAGCTAATACGTCAGGCCGTCTCCCACCCCAGTACGCCCACCCGACACTGAACCCTGTTCCAGCGTCAGCAGCACCTATGGGAGCAGCGCATCCCTCTGGGCACTTGCTGCAAAGGGTGACGGCGGGACTTCCTGCGACCGCGTCTCCAGGGCTGCACTGTCCTGTGACCACAGGAATGTTCGCCTCCATGCCCAGCACAGTGGCCACAGCCCCCTTGACGACCGAGCACCGGCAATGTGGCCAGTGTGGCGGACACTTCAGTTACTTTTAAATCACAGGGGCCCGCGTGGCGAGTGGCAGGGCAGGTCTACGTCACAGGCTGCCAGGGCCCTTCGAAAACGAAACAGTTTCCTTTAACTAGATACGAAGTTACTAACGTCCTGATTTAAAAGCCTATTTCTTTTGTTTATGCAGTAACATAGAAACCCTCTATCCTTAGCAGGCTAATCACGTTTTCCTTCCATGATCCAGATTAAAAACATACAATTTGCCCGGCCGGGCGTGGCGCAGTGGTTGAGTGTCGACTTCGGATCCAGGCAATTGGGGTTCGATTCCCGGTCAGGGCACAGGCCCGGGCTGTGGGCTCGATCCCCAGTCGGGGGCGTGCAGGAGGCAGCCGATCAATGACTCTCTCATCACTGATGTTTCTCTCTCTCCCTCTCCTTTCCTCTCTCTGAAATCAATATATATTTTTAAAAATTAAAAACATACCATTTTTCTATCAGGTATTAAATACGGTTACACTGTGAGCCTGTCATAAAGGTTCAAAGCTGCTATACCTGAAATTCCATCAAAACATTTTACTCTTATAGAAGTTAAAACACCAAGAACTTGCTCAAGCCAGTGCCGCTGGCATCGGGAGGAACTGAGAGGAGACGGCAGGACAAACAGAGGGCGCCCAGCGGGTCAGAAACGGGAGGCCAGTCAGTGAGCTGTGGCCCACACTCCCTGTGTAAGCTCCTTGGAGTCACACGTGTGCCCGGGAATTGGGAACACAGTGCGCCTGCCAACGCGGGTATTAGGACCCGCTGCTGTGCGCTGCCCCGGGGCCTTCAGCCCAGTACGTTCACATATGTGCCTCTCTCCCAAATTCCCGCCTCCCCCCAGACTCCACGCTGCACCACGGACACTTTCAAGCCAACAGGCGTTTGTTCAGCAGAGACTCACCGAGTGTTCGCACGTGCTCAGCACCGCCTTAGCGCCCAAAACGCATGCACTGAGCTGCGCGTCCCTAAACGCCTCCCACCTCCAGGTCCCTCCATCAGAAAACGGGGCTCCCATCTACCTACTGGGCGAGTCGGGAGCCGGGAGCCACCCCCGACCCGTCGCCCCACCTGCATCTCCATCCGCCACGACTCCCTCCGAACGCACCTCCAATCCCTCTCCAGCCCAGTCACCTCCCCTCCCCACGCTGTCCCCTACGTGAGGCGCGTGTTTGTAACCGGAGGCAGTTTTGTGCCCCGAAGGATACTTGGAAATATCTGGAAACATTCATGGCTGCCACAGCCTGTGGGGGAAGTGCTCCTGGCGCGTCGTGGGGGGGGGCGGCTGTGGCTGGGCCTCCTACAGAGCACCGGACGGCCATGCACTGAGTTACCCGAATCGCCGGCCTGCAGTGAGGACAGCGCTGGGGCTGAGGGCCCTGCCGCAGGCGCCCGGGAGAGGGATGCACACCGGCGACTTTATTTTTGCATTTATGACAGGTCTTGAAACAAACATCGCCACTGAGGATACTTATACTAACATTCTACTGGACCAGCCGCATCGGCGGGAAACACGTGTGTGCAGAGAAGGCGAACACTTACTTGTGCATGTTCTCCGCTCCTATCACGACCATGATGCAGTAGGAGACTCCCGTCTGCACGAGAAAGTGGAAGGCGTACCTGCAGAAAGGGAGCGCAGGTTAGACGGGGCGGGTGCTGCTCACAGCAGGTCGACACAGTCGAGGCTTAAACGTGCTGAGTGGAGCGCAGAACAGTCTCAGACAAAAATACAGACTCCTGCCCTGGCCGGTGTGGCTCAGTGGTTACAGCATCAGGCCGCCCGCCGAAGGGTTGCGGGTTCGACCCCGGGCCCTGGTCGGGGTGCAAGCAGGAGACAACCAATCGATGTGTCTCTCTCGCATCCATGTCTCTCTCTCTCTCTCTCTGTCCCTCCTCCTTCCCTTCCTTGCTCTCTAAAAATCAATGGGAAAAAATATCCTCGGTGAGGGTTAACAAAAAACATAAAAATTAAAGACTCAAACCTCCAAAGCCTAGAACCCAGCGAGCCTTCTGCAGGGGGAGGCCCACAGCGCAGNTGAGGGTTAACAAAAAACATAAAAATTAAAGACTCAAACCTCCAAAGCCTAGAACCCCCCCAGAAGAGCTGGGAAAGTGAGAGCAAACCCCGGGCCGCACGTTGGGTGCCTGGCTCCCGCGTCTCCAAGCCGCGTGAGAGCACTGTGGGTCTGGGGATCCAGGGCCACAGCTCTTTCCCGAACCCGGGGCGCAGGGTGAAAATCAATCTGGACTTCAGAACAGTCCTCACAGGGCAGCGGTTCTTGGTTTCCCCAAACTTCCACAAGTCCAGCTTTGTACTTTCCCTTGCCAATATTACTCACAAAACAACAAAAATACTAAATATTAGAATTTACTAAAGAGCACACCCCCCGAATCTACTTATTTGGAAAACATGACGGTTGAAGTCAAATGAGCTTCCTTACAGAAATCTAGCGGGTCCTCAGTTTGCAATGACCCACCTGCAGGCCAGCTGGATGACACAGTGGATTTCTAACATTGTAAGGAGCAAATCCACCCCTGCTTTGTCCACCCGTTTCACAAAACTCGGGCGACACACGATTGGGATCTCAGGTTTCAAAATCTACCCCAGTGGTCCCACATTATGCATCAGGTGCACACATACTTTCAATTTCCTCTCCCCTTTGGGGGGCATGAATAATTTATGAAAACATTTTCAAATCGTTATGCACGATTTGAAGTATTAATAAGGATCTTAACCCATGATTAAAACCACTTTGAAACCTAATCATTATGGAATAACTGGCACCTCCCACGTGGAAATGGTACCTAAATTTTTGAACAGATTTTTCCATAGAAATCGTATAAATAAGAAGTAGGTTGCATGGCAGGAAACACACACACACACACACACACACACACACACACAGAAAAGCAAATATGAGCATAAACTGAAACAGAAGGAAGCTAAAAAATGTGATTGAAACACACACTTTCAAATGAATTAGCCACCTCCGACTTCTTGCCAGCACTCACAACTAACAGTCTTCATGTGCAAATGCTGAGGGGACTGGAGTGGAACCCATTCGGGACACTTGTCTTACACCAAGAGCGTTCTGAGAACCCTTCGGGACATATTTTTTTCTTTTCTATGGGTATATTTCCTTGGGACACAAGGAATCTGTGACAACTGTAGAAGCTGAGTCTCATCTCTCAAACAGGCCACGGTTCCTTATATCGTGGTAGTTGCCCAGGGCAGGGTTCCCGTGGCAGGGTTCCCGTGGCGGGGCTCCCGTGGCTGGGCTCCCGTGGCTGGGCTCCCGTGGCCATGCTCCCGTGGCCAGGCTCCCGTGGCCAGGCTCCCCATGGCACGGTTCAATCTTCCACCCTGTTCACAAGACCACTGCGGGAACGGAGTCCCTGACTACAAGCCTCCCCAGGTACACCCTGAACACTGACGTGCTCATGCGTGGAACGTGTATCCTGGGACATGCTTTGGAATACTCCAGAAAGATAAGTCCGGGAAAGGGCAGAATAACAACGGTGGCATTTCAGTGAGCGCTGAGGCCGGGTGCCGGGAATATGACCGTCCGTTACATTCCTCTCAGTTACTTTGTATTTAGAAAGTTCCATCATAAAAAGTTCACACACACGCACACACACAGCCGGGGCAAGATTTACAGGTTTCAACAGGATCACCTGAGAAACCTAAGAAAACTGATGATATAAATGTGATGCTGCCAAGGAGGCGGAAAAGGCCACGCTTAATCTGACCCAAGAGCTCGGGACCACACCCAGCAGTGGACTGGTCACTGGGGGAGAGTCTGATTTTTCACGAGTTTCTAGGAAACATTTGCAATAGCCAGAGACAAAAAAACAGATTAAGAAATTACATCTATTCCAACCCTCACAAGAATCAGAAACAACATCCTAAAGGAACTGACACGTTACCCTGCCGGCCACAGAAAGCCCTGCACCACGGGGCAGGCGGGCACGTTTACGCCCTCGGGGAAGCCGCCTCTGGGGCAGAGCCTGCGGCCTGCGGCACGAGAGAGCGGGGCGGCCACGGGAGCGCGGGCCCCGCGCAGGGGAGCCGCAGCCCCCACGGGGGAGAGGGAGGCGCGGGGAACACCGAGACCCCTCCTGAGGGGCTCTGCTCTGCTCCCGAGACGGCCTCTCTCCTGCCGTCTCTGCCTCCCAGCCAGTCACCTGAACAAACACGCAGGTGGCATTTCCCGACGCCAACCCTCCGGGCAGCCCTGAGGGAACACGCAGAGCGACTGAAGGGTCATAAATAAGAGCTTTCCACCACAAATAATTCCTCCCACCAAAACCAAACAAAAACCTCTTTCCATTGACGGAAGAGTCTAAAAAATGGCAACAGAGCTCTATCAATGGGCTTTACCAGGCTCTGAGAAGCAAGCCACTTGCACAGAAATAAAAAAAGCTATTTTAAATGGTTTATTTGTCTTGGCATAAAAGGTTTGCAAAAGAGGTGAAAAGAACTACTCATGACGGAATAAAATGTCTCTGTTCTTCCTCTGTCCCTTTTCATAAATTATAAATAGTAAATTTTCCTCTGAGCCCAAACTGAAGAGACAGGGCCCATTCTCCACTCTTTTTTTTTTTTCTATTAAAAATAAAAATTGTAAAACCTTAGCCATGGCCAGTGTGGCTCAGTTGGTTGGGCGTCATCCGTGCACCAAGAGGTTGCCGGTTCCATTCCCAGTCGGGGCACATGCCGGGTTTCGGGTTCGATCCCCTGTAGGGGGGTGCAGGAGGCAGCTGATCGATGTTTCACTCTCACATTGACNCGTGCACCAAGAGGTTGCCGGTTCCATTCCCAGTCGGGGCACATGCCGGGTTTCGGGTTCGATCCCCTGTAGGGGGGTGCAGGAGGCAGCTGACCGATGTTTGACTCTCACATCGATGTTTCTCTCTCTCCCTCTCCCTCCCTCTCTCTCTAAAAATCAATACAAATCTTTAAGGAAAAAACTATAAAACTTAATAAGTAAATACAAGCACAGAGCCCTACAGAATGTATCTTTCTACACACTCCATTCGCAAAGACGTCCAAGTCTCCATTTAAATAGGATCAAAATACTTACCACCCAAAGCAAAAAAGTGCAAGGTAAAGGCCCAAAAGAGTAGCAACGACATGTCTTATGAACGAGCTGGTTTTACTCGAATGAAGGTAAGTCCGAAACCAAAGGGCTGCCAGCAAGGCTAGGAGCTGGCCCGCGACGAAGTTGACCTGTAAAGAGAAGTTAAGACGCCGCATTAGCAACACGGGCTGGGATTTTTCATCTGATGTCATCTTTCAATTCTCAGGACAAAAAACTACATAAAATTAAGATCCTCCAGTTTACAAAGGGAACAAAAACAAAACTCAGGGGCTCCCCGGGGGACGAGAGCCTCCCGTTGAGAGCGAGGGGCCCACGCACAGTCCTTGCTCCCCTGGGCGTGGGCAGGGGCCCCGCGTGGCGAAGGCCGGGAGGGGCCCCTGGGAGAATCTGGAGGACACAGGGTCAGACGCAGGAATGGAAGGCACGGGCGCCCTGTGCCGTGAGGGGAAGAGGGACCTGTTGAATGACTCAGGCGACCCTGTGACCCAGAGAAAACACGAGCTCCGAGTTTCTCCCCAAATCCCCGGGGTCCAGATCTGGGCAAGGTCCCCGAGTGTCTGGGGAACGCATCCTCTTGGCTTGGAGTTTGCACCCACCCCTGGCAAGGAGTCAAGGAGGCTGCCACCGGCACTGTGAAGCAGTGGGACCCAACGTCTCGGCTCTGGGGGCTCAAGGACGGGCTCAGGAGGGGACGAATGGTAACAGGGAAGGAGCCTTCGGAGAGCGGCGGGCCCACCACCGTCACGTCCCGTCCCTCCCGACTCGCGAGGAGCTGCGTGGCTCTCGCTTGCAGAAATGAATGAAACGCACGCTGGCGGCGGGGCCCTTTCCCCCCCCGAACATTTCCTTCACCCTAGAAAAATAATAAAGTAAAAGGCTACGGAACAACACCCGTTTATGGTACTTAACGACGCGAGGGTGATCTCCGTTTCTCTCTTAAGGAAAATATGTCTAAAAATCTACAAATAAAAGAAAAAATCCATTTGACATTAGGAACTTGCACAAAGAATGCAACCCAAAAAAAAAGAAGCCGCCACGGATCCACGGAGACATCTCTGCCCAAAGACAGGCCACCGTGTGTGTCTCCCTGCGTTCGGGAGATGACCGGCTGAACTCTGCTGTCACCAAGAGACGACTGTTCTTGGAAACAGACTCAGTACCGGCAAAGTGTCTCCCAACAGGTTCTCAGCGCCTTTTCCACCCGACAGGGACCCAACGGTGGTTTTTCTAATCAAGCAAAAAGTCCATCTGAAAAATAAATATCCCTGACGTCCATGACTACTCGCATCTTCAAAGCTTCTTGCGGTTTAAAACCTTTCCAACGATCTCTAATTCAGCAAAAACGTACAGAGCACCTCACGGGCAAAGCCTAGGAAAGGAAAGAATGCTTACGTCCCAGGGCCGGCTGGGCGACGTCAGAACCGAATGAGACGAGCGACCACGTACGGACGCAAGGAACCGTGTGTCCCCTGAGGGGCCCACGGAAAGCGCTCGAGAACCTCACGGAGGAGAGGCATGAAGGGGGAGTGTCGCAACGCGGGTGACGCAGGGGTCCTGGTCACAGCTGACCTCCACCACCGTCTGAGGTCGCCCTCTCTGCCTCCCCGTTTATCTCATATAAAGCAACGCGTGACGCCTGTGGCAGAAGCAGGCCCGCCGACGTGCGGACGCCTGTGTACCTGGGCCTTGGACTCCCAGGGCCCCAAAGGACAGGAAGGACCTGGGCAGCGAGCCGGGCGGGAACTCGGGGGGCGGGGGGAGCAGCTCACTTCCTGTCGCTAAAAGAGCACACGGGACACCCAGGCGCGGGGTCCCGGCCTCGGCTGCTTCGCACAGAAGGTGCTGGAATACACTGCTGCTCAGAGAACTGTCCTGAAGGGGCTTAAAGGTGAGACCTTCCCCAACCGAAACCGGCTCCGTCATTCCTGCGCGGGCGGGGCAGGCTGGGGAGGCAAAGAACACCGGGGAGGCGGAGGGAGCGAGAAGGCTGCCCCAGCCACGGCGAGCACGCTCACGCCTCGTTTAATCCTTAAAGCAACCCGCAGTTTCCCCGTTTGACTCGACCGACTCAAGGTCACGTACAGCGGGTCCCCCAGACCAGGCCAAGCCTGGCTGACTCCGGGCGGTCCATGGCTGTTTGTGCGTCCAGGGAACGTCTGAAGGTGAAATCTGATGGCTACCGGCGAGACGTTTTACGGAGATGCCACCTGCAAAATACCACGGTCCTGTGCACCGCGACACCCACACACGGCTGGCGAATCCAACGGAAAGGGCGCGAGGTGGAGTGCGGGCTACGGGCCCGCCCTCTGCCCCGGCTTTCTGCTCGGCGGAAAGAAGTTTAGATGAAAAGACTTCGCACGTTCTTTTTTCAAAATATTTCCTTGAAAACATACCTACGCAAAGAACCTGGTGCGTCTCCAAAGGTCATTTGGGTTGGGGGGTGTAGGAGGCAGGCAGGACAGACGGAGGGCGCAGAAGCCAGGATGGAAAATCTTAGCTGATCTAGGCCGGAGGTGACGATCCTGGGAGCTGCGCCCCTGGGTTTCCCCTGGGGACACCCCTGGAAGGACCCGGGGAACCTGGGAGTGGCTGCCCCTCGGGGGGCAGGATGGGGTCCAGGGGAGACACTTTCATAGTAAACCACCTTCCTGTGTATTTCGCACTATGGGCATTTATTATCTACCCCCAAATATGCGAAGTTTTAAAAAGTGATATATGTTTTCAGATTTCCAAACAAAAACTTGAGCACCGGGACTTAAGACCCGATTGTCTCGTGTCCCTGCCCTGCGTCTGCGCTGGTTCCACCCCACTCAGCGTCAGGCCACAGCAGCCAGGTCTCCAAGGGCATAAACGTTTCAAACACCATCAGCCCGCCGCCCTAGAAAAACAGCTCTGCAGGCATAAAGTGAGTTCAACTCCTTTAACTGAAGGACTAGGACCTCCCCAGAAAGCGTGGCAATGAATTCAAACCAAAAATCGGGGAATCTGGTTTTCATAAGCACCATAAAAATCTACAGATTACCCAGTAAAAAAAAATGCACAAAGCTCAGACGGACACTTAACCAAGTCTTCACCGCACCCGCCTCCATCCCGCCTTCTACCAAATCTGCCTCTTTCCTCCGGGTCCCCGCTCTTCGGGAAATGGGGTCACCTCCACCCGCTCCTCAGCGAGAAACTCTGGGACCTTCACTCACACTCTGGGCTTCCGACCCCCTTCAAAGCCGCTCCGTAGGGCACCTGTCACCTGGCCCATTAGTCTGACTTTCCCTTTAGGCCGCGAGCCTCTCAAAGGCTGGGAACAAAGCGTGTTCATGTCTGAATTCCTCCCCACCCCAGGGTGCAGGGCCCACCTGCATTTGTGCTTCTAATTCCCTGAAAGAAAAGGGGGGAGCAGGGGGGGCAGATCGTGCCTGGAGCATTTGCTTCAAGTCCAGGAGAGTGGACTTACGTTAACACAGCGGCTCAAATGTATCCTCCACCTTCCCCAGGGGCTTAACGCTCTTAGTATTAATTGCCACAATTAGAAAATTGCATAACCGGAAATAAAAAGTGATTATATGCCGATAAAAGTACGTTCTGTCCTGCACTCAGGACGCGCTTGCCGTTTCGTACAAAGCACAGCGCAGACGTGGCGCTTCCCGCACTCGCACAACTTACAGGCCGCGGCAGGCACAGGTGACCAGCGACGACGCCGGCGGCTAGTAAGCAGGGTGCAGGCCGAGGCCCGGGGTCGAGAACCGGGGGGAGGGGCTGCCCGGCCTGCCTCCGGGGACCACGTCCTGCCTCCGGAACTGCGGCGGCTGCCCATCCTGCTCCACGTGAGGAAACCGCTGCTCGCCCGGCCTCGGATCCGCCTTCTCTCCGCTCCTCGCGGGACCACGGCACCGAGAACCGCCCGGGGAGAGCCGGCTTCCCGGGACCCCTCCTCCGAGCGAAGTTCGGCGTCACTGGAGCAGCCAGACTCCCGGGCGTAGCCCTGGGCGGCTCCCGACGTGGATCCTCAGACCACACACACCCCGAAAGCGGCCAGCTTCCCGGACGCGCCGCACCAGAGGCAGGAGGCGGGCGACCCAGCGAGACTGCAGGATGCCCGCGGGCCAGGCCATCAGGGCGCAGCTCATTCAACGTCAGCCCGAGCCGGCTACGGAAGTCCCGCGAACTCAGAAGAAAGCCGCTCCGGTGGACCCGAGGGATTGAAAGGCGCTGGGTTAGCCGCACACACACCTGCTGGACTGTGGCGCTCCGGTAACGCGGGCAACCGAAGCAAACGAGACACGTGCAGCCCGGGGCGAGTAATAACGCCCCAGAGCATCACCCAGAGCACAGGCAAGGGCCGCTCCGCCTCCTGTCTCAGCACCCGGCAAACTTACTCTGACCCACGACTAACAAGAGCTCGTCCCTAAACAGGAGAGGGGGGATAAACACAGGAACAAGGAACCGTGGCCCCGTGTCATCACGAGGGTTCGGAGCTCCAGGGGGCTCACATGCCTGTGTGTGCATGCGTGTGCGTGTGTGTGCATGCGTGTGTGTGCATATGTGTGTGTAGCCCAGTATCTGTCTCTTAGGTGGTTACAAATAATAACCCAGAAGACTTTCTGAAGGAAGCGCAAGGAGTCTAAATTCACTTTGACTGGATAAACAATCCTAGTGCACCCACACAACAGGACGTCACCGAGCAGGACAAAGAAAGGAACTACCGTGACACCCACAACACAGATGACTCTCAAAATAATTACACTGTGAGAAAGAATTCAGAAAATAGGCCTACTGTACAATCCTATTTATGTAAATTACTAGAAAATGCAAACTAATCTCTCATGACAAAAAGCAGACCAGCGGTTACCGGGGGATGCAGGGCAGGGAGAAGCACCCTCTACAATAATCTCATAGATGTGTTTACTTATTTATTAAATTTGCTAACAAAATTTCATTTTCATTCCGTCATTCATTTCTACTGGGACTATCGGAAGCATTAGCCCAAGTAAGCGGAGTGTTCCTTTCTGAATTTAACTCGAGAGCGTACATGTCCAGGGGCCTATGTGACACTGGGGAAAAGATACCTGCCCTAAAAAAAAAAAAGTCAATTTCAACCCTCCTGTTAATCTTACAAGGCTTCAAATTATTCGAGAAACTCATTTCTCCTGAGCTGCCTCATTGCCATCAGATTTCAGTTCAGTACAATATCCACTTCCAGACACGTTCACTTGATTTTGAAACTGTACTGCCTCCCACCAAAAATAGCACGCTTTTCAGTAAAGATCCTGCCAATGTAAAAAGAATTCATTTTTAATGATTCGCTGGGACCTGAGACACCTTGCCTGTGGAACATTAACCGTTAAGTACTTAAAGGACACCTTATCCAGATGAGCCGATGCAAGCATTTGACTTCTCACTTTTTAAAGGATTGTAAAGGTTTCAGGCACTGCTACCAAAAAAAAAATCACAATTTTTATGCCTCTTGATGTCCCTCGCTGTAAATTATCCTACAGTAAATCATTCAAAGAATTACTAGAAGGTACATTTCAG